TCGGACGCGGAAATTTTAGAATACGAATTCGTAATACCGGAAACACTTGAGAAGAGGGGGAAAAAAAAAACAAGACGAAAAATAATTTTTTCGCAACCTTTTTTTTTTTTTCTTTTTTTCTTTTTTTCTTTTTCTTTTTTCTTTCTTTTCTCCTCCCTCCGCGAACCTTTTAGTGTGAACTTTTAATACGGGGAGCGAGCGAAGGTTTTCAACTAACGAAAAGGATAGGATAGGATAAGACGACGAAATCAACGGAAATTTATCATTGAAGGAGAAACGAAGGAAATAAAAGGACGTCGATTGTCTTCCGGAAAAGGGAAAAATAGTAATAATAATAATAATATATAAAGAAAATCATTCTAATGCATTTGGATTTGCGAAAATAGACGCAAGACAGAATGGCTAATGAGTGTTGTTGCAAGGTGAGTGATAATAATAATAATAATAGTTAATCATTTTCTCGATTTTTTTTTTTTTTATTGTAAATATATATATTTAACGGGGCTGACAGGATTGCCATTTGTTTGTTTAAAAAAAAAAAAAAAAAAACGACGATCGTATACAGTTCTCCCAACGTGAGAGAAAATAATAATAATAATAATTTTGGGAAATGGGTATGCGAACGCGTACGGGAAATGATGAGTAGTCGACGATGTGGAAAATTTGATATTACACGCGCGCGTCGTGTTTTTCCTAACTAGAAAATTAAAAAACGTGTCAATAAATTATGCGACATCGACGTTTCCGTCACATCCGTTTCCTTTTCTGCGTCGTCGCGGGACCAGATAGTATAATTAAAAATTAAAAAGGGCGAACGTGCGGGTGGGCGTTCGGACCAAAAAAAAATTAAAAAACGGAAAAAGTGGTGACCGAAGCACGGCACACAATGTCGCAACAAATTAAAACGAATTTGTTTTATTTTAAATCTTTTTAAATTTATTTCGCGAATCGAAAGAATAAAGATGGCGACGAACCGGGTACCGCGAAAATGCTACATAAAATAAAACAGACGCGACTTTCCCGAAGAGTTTTGTTTGTTAACCCGAGTACCTTAAATTAAATAAATACACGCGTTTGCATTTTTATGAAAAATTATTTATGCTTTTTAAACAGGGAAAGGAGGCGGAGGGGGGGGGAAACGTAATGCGGGCGAAAAAAAATTGCTTCACAAAAAAAATGGCGGTGAGAAAAAAGGTGACGCGATGGGTCGGAAGGTCGCGATGGTAAGGGTTGAAAGCGGGTTAAAAAAAAAAAACCTCGAATATAAAGTCTTTTAGAGATAATATGAAAATTATTCGTGGGAAAATGTGGGGAGATCCGCGGTTTTTATTTTTATAATTTTTTTTTTTTTTTGATAATGCAATCCTCCTGCATCGGAGTGATAAAAGTACCTTTGAGGTTTAAAGGTTACGAGAGCAAAAAAAATGAGGGAAAAAGGAAAATTTTTGTTCTAAAAAATTTCCCGGAATTTACGAAAAGAAAATGATTCGTTTCAATTTGTTATTTTTTGTGTTTATTTATTTACGTCTCTTTTTTTTTGGGAGGGGGAGGAATTTTTACGGGGGATCGATCGAAGCGTTCCCGAAAAGGAAAACTTTTTTTTTCGGGGGGGGGGAGAAGGAAGGACTAGAATTTATTTCGTTTCGAAAAAAAGAAAATTTTTTATTTTTTAATTATTTAACGCTAAAAAGATTGGGGGAGAAAATGTATGAAAATGTAAAATGAAGGAAAAACGGGGGGGGGAAGAGAAAGAGAGAGAGAGAGATGTGATTTTTTTTTTTTGGGGGGGGAAGAAACTTTAAGCCAAACTTAAAAATCTCACGAATGAGACAAATTTTCCATGTTTTTACTGTTTATTTCAAAACTACCACTACTATATAGTCGGGGAGCATTTATTTTGTTTCTTTTTTTATTTGGGGGGCGGGGAGGGGAGAGGGGAGACTAAGAACGATTTTAAAAAAATTTTTTTTTTCTTTATCTTTTGAATATGATTGATGATCTCAAGCGTCACATATATATTATTCTCGTTTGCAAATCCCCCACCCCCCCATTTTTTTTCTCGACTCTTTCATTTCTTATTCGACTCCATACTTTTTTAACTTGGGGGGCAGAAAAAAAAATTTTTTTAACCAGAAAAATATTTTCCTTATTTTAATTGAGGGAAATTTTTCTTTTTTGCCTTTAAAAAAGTTAAAAAAAAAAAAAAAAAAAAACAAAATTATTGAGGAGTTTTGCTAAAAAAGGAGCAATAAAAGGTTTGTGGGGGGAAAAAAAACCTCCCTCCAGGGTGTTTTTTTTCACAAAAAAAAAAAAGGGATAATAATAATAATTTTGCTTCGCATTATTTATTAAAAAAAAAAAAAAAAATTTTTTTAATAAATAAAATCAACAGCCCACCACGGTTTTGATGTTTATTTTGGAGTCATTTTTGTGTGGTTCGCCTCCCTTTTTTTTTTCTTCTGCTTTCGATGTCCCCCCACCTTTTTTTTTTTTTTTTTTAATATTTCAAATGAGTTTTTTTTTTTTTTTTTCTAAAAAAGAATTTTTTAATTTCTTATATCTCAAAAAAAGAAAATTTTTTAACATGAGAAACATCCTTCGATAGGGGGGTTTTGTAGGAGCCCTTTAATGACGTCATAACAAAAGAATCGTTTAAAAAGGAAACTAACTATTCGATTAATTCATAAAATTCATCATGGCCGTAAGTTTTTCGCGTCTTTTTTGTTTTTCATTCGACTTCATTAACTTTTTAAGAAAAAGTTTTCTTTCTTCTCGGTTTTTGCGGGGGCGGGGGGAAGCGGGGATTTTCCTCCGGTTGGTTTTTTAATATTAAATTTATTATGTACGTTTTCCATTGGTTTTCGATATTACATATTTCATCTTGACGCGAGATTTTAGTTTTAGTTTTTTTAATAATTTTTCCATAATTAAGTTATGATGTACAATATATAATTTAATCATTTTTCTTCATCTCTCTCTCTCTCTCTCTATCTATCTATCTATCTATCTATCTATCTATCTCTCTCTCTCTCTCTTTTTCTCGCGAATAAATTATTGCGAAAAATACCGTTTGTGGTTTTTAATGTCGAAGTCGTGCAATGAGATCCTCATCATCTCTTTTAGGACTCGTATCGACGTCCGTCTCTTTTTCTTTCTCTCTTTCGCAAGGGGGTTCATCGTTTTCCATTTAAAAAATTTTCTTTTTTGAAAATTCAAAAATTTCGGTACCACGAGAAAAATTTTCCGAAAGAATCAAAAAAAGGTTTTATTGCAAACGGAATAAATTTTTTTTTTTTTTTTTTTTAACGAAAAAATTAATTGCAAGAAGCAATTGTTGAAAAAAAAAAAAAAAAAAGGTTTTTTTTTTTTTAATCTCCTAAGAGATTTTTTCGGAAAACAAGAAGTTTGGCCAAAGATTTTATCTCTGATTTTCTTTTCGTCTCTCTCTCTCTCTCTCTTTTTAATTTTTTTTTTTTTTTGTAAAAAGTATTAAAGTTAAAGAGAAGTTATTTCGAACAAGTCATTCAGAAGTTTTTTTTTGGAAAATTTTGTCGAATCCTCTCAATGACAGTAAAGTCGACGCGATTCACATTTCATCGACCCACGTAAAGAAAATTTTCTTTTAAAAAAAAACAACCGGAAAAGTTATTAATGAGAGATTTGGAAAATTAACTTTTGAGTACGACGTTTTCACGCCGGGGGGGAAACGTGAGGGAAGCAAGGGACGGAACGAAATGAAAATTTCGATGACGTAATCGGTAAAAATGTACTCGACAATAGATTGTTCAGAAAGGGTACAATCCGGAAATTTGTTTAAAAATTGAAAAATTATAAAGTTTTTCTTTTTCTCTCTTTAGTTAATACTCTCAAAAAAAAAGAAAAAAATTTTTTATTTAAGTAAAACATGTCTCACGACAAAACCGGAAATAGGAAATTGTTGTAAATAATATGACAAACAAAACGCCGTTTGAAAATGAGAAAATAAAATTGAAAAAAAAAAAAAACGCAAACAAGCAAACAAACAAACTAAATGGCAAATTAATTTAATTTAAAGAATAATACATACGTCACGCGGAGAAAAAATAAAAATAAAAATAAAAAATAAAAATGGGTTATCGAATGACAAAAGCAAAAGCGTATTACGGTTAAAAAAAAAAAAAAATTGGAAAGGTTTTTTTTTTTAAAATAAAAATAAAAAAAAAAAAAGGTAAATTTTCCGAAACGGAAAATGGAATCGGTTAGTCGTTTGCATTTTTCTTTTTTTTTAAACAACACAAAAAAAAAAAAAAAAAAAAGGGGGGGGGGACTTATTTTTGACTTCATTGAACTTAATTTCTTATTTTGTTTTATTTATTATTAAATTTTTTTTTTTTTCTTTTATTCCATGTATTTATATGTGCGTTTGTGTTTGTGCGTGTGTGCGTGTGCGTGTGCGTGTGCGTATGCAAGTTAAATACAAAAATAGAATTTTTACAATTAAATATTTCCGCGTTATCATTTCGTTTCTTTAAATCGGATAAAGGTTTTTTTTAAATTCAATTCAATTACCTGAAAATACCTTTTCCGACATTTTTTTTTTTTTGGGGGGGGGGGGGTAAATGAATAAAAAAATTAAATTTTTTAAACGAATATCCTTAAATGGTAAGAGTTTTTAATTTTGAATTCGGAATCAAACGCGAACGATTTTATTTTTTTTTTCATCCCTTCCTTCTTTCCATATCCCCCCCCCACGTATCCTTTCAACTTTAAACTTTGACATCGTTTAATTTTTAATTAAATTATTATATAATAAAAAAAAGAGAGAGAGAGAGATAGATAAAAGTTTAAAGTCGAAAGAAAGAAAGACAGAAAAAAAAAAAGTTACTCATTTAGCTGACGCATTTTTTCCCCCTGTTTGAAAAGGTTGAAAGGTTTCGGTTGTTAAGGTGAAACATGCATGATGACTAACAAATTAAAAAAAAAAAAAAATCTAACATAAAATTAAATGTGGTGCAGGCGGAATGGGTGAGATACGTTCGTCAAAGGTGCGAAAGCCCATGAGAAAGCCTTCCCGTCATCAGCATCGACCTCCTCGTCAATTTCCTCAAGACTTCGATTATGCAAGAGGCTTCCAGGTAGTGTAAATTAAATCTATAAAAATAAAAATAAAAATTTAATCGCGTGAATACGAAAATAAAAAAAAATAATAATAATAATAAATAAAATGAAATAAAAAATTATAATACATATTATGCAAAAATAAATAAATTTCCCGTGCGGCGGAAATAAATTTGACAAAATCACTGATAAAACCCTTGAATATCCGGAAAAAGAGAGAGAAATACACTGCGGTTTGCATGCAATCGAATTGTGAATTTAATTATATATATAAATGAAATGAAATTTTGAACAAAAAAAAGTACCTGGAGCCTTTGAAATATATATATCAGGTGGCCGTGGTTGGTGACGCTTTAGAAAGTCTTAGAGAATATGACAACGGATCTCCTGAAGGATTCGAGGACAGCGACCATGACCACTCTCTGGCGGCGGCGCGCATCAAGCTGACCGCCAGAGATTCTCGTCGAAAGAAGATCAGTGATGAGACGACGGAAGAAAGTCCGCCGGAAGAAGACGAAGCAACTCTTAGAGAGCTGCTAGTAAGGTTGGTTAAAAACTTGTAAACTATTTTCACCTTTTTTTTTTTTTGGCCTCACTAATAAAGAGAAGAGAAGCAATGAAATTCTACGCGAATTTAATTAATTTAATTAAATAAATAATATATTATGTCGAATTGAAAATCGTCATACGTCATCGCCGTGACGTCATACGGGTAAACAAACAAATAAAAAATTTGATTGCTTCTTTTTACATTTAAGTTTTTTTTTTTTAAACTTAAATTAACTTAACTAATACTAACAAATTAACTGCTATTATTTAAAACTTCTCTTAAGCTACTAACAAATCCGATTTTCGTGCACTTGTATATATATATATATATATATACTTTGATTGGTGATACCCGTTTCCCGTTTGATTGTCGTTATTTACAGGTACGAAGTTAATAACTGTACGTTTGGCGCCCGCCACCCCTCCCCTGCCTCTCGTCTATATTATAAATCAAATAGTTTAAAGTTTTTATTTCGGTTCAAAGTCGAAGGAGAGACTATTATTATTATTATTATTATCAATGTTATTACATTAGCGGTAAACAATTAAATCGAATAAATAAATACGATAATAATAATAATAATAATAATAATTTGAAAGGAAAGTTTTATTGGGCGCCCAACGTAGAGTATTTTTCCCCATTTTTTTTTTTTTTTCGAGGGGATATTGTTAAAAGGTTAAAAAAAAAAAAAGTGCAAAATAGATTTTTATATGTTTTAAAAAGGGGAGGGAAAGGAAGGGAAATAATAATAATAATAATAATTTAAATTAATAATTGAGATTCAATTTAAGCAATAATTCGATATATGGTAGTACTTAAAAAAAAAAAAAAAAAAAGTAAAGACTGATATCGCATTAAAAAATTAAAAAATATTAAAGCCTTATTAATTACGAGTGCAATTTAAAAATAAAAAAAAAAGTGAATAAAAAAAAAAATTTAAAAAAATAAAATAAAAAAAAAAAAAAAAAAAAAAAAGCGATGCAGATCAAAAGCAAGAAATTTGTTAAAAATACAAGTGTACGATGATCGGGTGCAGTCTGCAGAAGCAGGTGAGCGTGATGAGCATGAACCTAAACGCCAAGTTGGATAATCTACAACGAGGAGATCGTCATTTTGAAACAACCGTTGCTCTTACCGAAATCCGTTGCCAACTTCAAGAACTGACGAAAAGCGTCGAGAGTTGTCAGTCTGAAGTGAGCGAAGTCAAACGGGACATGGTTGCCATCAAACACGAATTGGACACCGTTCAACAAGTGAAAGAAGAAATCGAAGAATTGAGAGAATACGTGGATAGGTTGGAAGAACAAACTCACAGGCGAAAACTCCGATTGTTGGAGCAGGTTCGCTCATCACTCATTTCATCCTTGGAATGTTTTTGTTGTTGTTGTTGTTGTTGTTGTAGCACTATATATATATACAGAGCAGTGCTTGACGATTTCAAGTTTTCAACAATCGTATTTATTGTATTATGATGGAAAGTGGAAGTTTGAAAGCATGACAATGTTGTATCTTTTGCACGAAATGTTTTATTTTATTTATTAACAATTAATTGCATGTGTAAAAATACGTCGGCACGTACCGTAAAAAAAAAAATTCCAACAAACAACACAATCATTACATCATATCATTAACGACGTAATCACTAAATTTTGTTCCGGTAGAATACCTGCCGCCATGTCATATTTATTTATTCAGTTAGTGAACAAATGATTTCTAATAAAACTTTCGTATTTCGTCAAATTATTATTATTATACAATCCATGAATCGAATAAAAAATAATCGCGAATATTTTCCGGGGGGGGGGGGGGAGACCGCGTGGGAGGCCCTGGTGGAGAAAGGAAAATGTAATAACTTTATTACTACGCGACGACACACAACTAGATAAAATTTAAAAAATTATTTTTCATTGTCTCCGCAATCATGGTTGACCTTAATTTGTTGTTGTGACTCGAATCACAATTTTTAACAATAATTAATCAATCACATCGATTTGCCTTTATCGATTTTAAAAAAAAATTGAAATATCGATGATTCGATTATCCATTTTAAATTTATTGGAATGATTTTTTTTTTTTTTTTTTTTAAATTAATGTCACGTGCTTCTCGATGATGGCAACAATTTTGCGGCGCAGAGATAAAAAAAAACAAACGCATGCGCATATTTAAATCAGGTACATCGTTTCGCGACGCGAAAAATTAAAACGTTAAGAAAAAGTAAAATGGATTCGTATGGGGAGAGAGAGAGAGAGAGAGGAAAAATATATCGAATGTACCTGAAAGAGAGAAAATCGTCGTCGACCGAAACGACGACGTGTGATGAATACAAATAAAAAAATATATATTAATAATAATAATAATATATTGCGTGGCGAAGTGATAAGCGTATTTTAACCGTACATTTCTTATCACTTTTGATTTATTTATCGTATATATAATCCATTTCATCGAGGGAATTCGTCTGTTCAATTTTCAATTTTTGTTTTCCTTTTTTAAATTATCAATGTGTGGTTTTTGATTGACGCACAATTAGGTTGGGAAGAAGAACAAGATGGCGGTAAGATTTTAATTTTAAAAAAAATTTTTTTTTTTTTTTTTTTTTAGGTTAGGTATATAGTGTGTGCACGTTGACGTGGCTTTGTGATAATATAATACGCGTTGCAAATGTTTCATTTTGTAGATAGTTGAACGTGTTAAATGTTATTTGTTATGACTTTTTTTTTTGTATTTTAAACGATACACGCGTGTGATTTGGTTTTCAGGGTTTGACATTTTTCCTCTCATACGCCATATTGGCCGCAGTCCTTGGAATGCTCCAGTTTGGCTACAATACCGGAGTGATTAACGCGCCAGAAGTTGTAAGTTGTAACCGAACGGAATTCCTTCGACTTTTATCCATTTTCATGTTATTATTATTATTATTTGTTTTTGTTTGCAGAACATCGAAAATTTTATTAAGGATGTTTACAAACAGAGATACGAGGAAGATATTCAAGAAGAAGCCGTTCAATTGCTTTATTCCGTCGCCGTGAGTATTTTTGCCATCGGCGGAATGTTGGGCGGTTTCAGCGGCGGAATAATAGCCAATCGATTCGGAAGGTAAATCTAAGCCCTCTATCATCGTCTCACTTTTTAGAAATTTAGAATTTGTCTTACAACCTTTGCCATGTTTTTACAATTTCAGAAAAGGTGGTTTACTATTAAATAACGTTTTGGGAATCGGCGGAGCTTGCTTGATGGGATTTACAAAATTTGCAAGTTCGTACGAACTTCTCTTCATAGGAAGATTCATCATCGGCGTTAATTGTGGTAATTTTTTTTTTTTTTTACGTTTCACTTTAACAAACGATTATTATTATTATTATTGTCGCGGATTATTTTTCTAGAAAGAAACAAAGAAAGGGAAAAAAAATTTTTTTGGGTTTTTCTTTTACTTTAACACAAAATGAATTTTTTAAATTTGAATTTGAATTTGAATTTAAAAAAAAAAATTATCAATATCTATGATAATGTAATCAATAAAATTTAATTTAATATCACTTGAACCGTAATAAAAAGATTTACTCGTTGAAATTGAATAGAAAAAAAAAAAGATGGGGGAGGAGGAGGAGAGGGGAGGAGAGAAGGGAAAGGGGAGGGAAGAGGGAAAAAAAAAATCTTTTGATTCCAGTCGTATTCGTATTCGTATTCGTTATTATAAATTTTTTTCTTTTTTTTCTTTTTCTTTTCTTCTTCCCTTCTTGTGCTCCTCTTTTTCTCCCTTCTTTCTTTTCATTTCTTTTTACTCTTTCATTTGTTATTTGGGATCTGTGACAATTTTTATCTTAGAAGAAAAACTTTTTTTTTTTTTTTTTTTTTTGGAATATATCCAGGGAGATTTTACCCTTTGGAAAAGTAAAATGGCCAAAAACCATAAATGTTTTTATTTATATCGGACGAGATAAGTAGAGAAAAGAAAAGGAAAAATAATTTGAAAAGGAGAAAATGGGGTAAAAACGATGGAAAAAGGGGGTAAAAGGGGGGTGGGGGTGGGGAGAGAGAGAGAGAGAGGTTTTTTTTTTTTTTTTACACTTTTACTAAATTTATCGAAGTGGATTTTGTTTTTGTTTCACTTTTTTTTTTTTTTTTTTTTTTGTTTTATTATTTTCTCCTTTTCTCTTTCTCCTTCCCTCTCCTTCCCTCACCCCCCCCCCTTCTTCGTTTTCATTTGTTTTTTGTTTTGTTTTCTTTGTTTATTAGGTTTAAATACATCACTCGTACCGATGTACATTTCTGAAATAGCTCCTCTTAATTTAAGAGGAGGATTGGGGACCGTTAATCAACTTGCCGTCACGGTCGGACTCGCTTTATCACAAGTTCTTGGTATTGAACAAATTCTGGGAACTAACGATGGTTGGCCGATACTGTTGGGACTCGCTGTGTGTCCCGCCGTACTTCAACTTCTCCTACTTCCTCTCTGTCCCGAAAGTCCCAGATATTTGCTTATAACGAAACAATGGGAAGAAGAAGCTAGAAAAGGTGAGTAGGAGGAGAAGGAGGCGGTGGAGGTGATTGATCGATCAATCAACATTATCGATTGTTAACTGTAAAGTTTTTCCCTACGTGACGTAATTTAACTTAAATTATTTATTAGTGTTTTTAAAAAGAAAGAAAGAAAGAGAGAGAAAGGGAGGGAGAGAGAGAGAGAGAGAGAGAGAGAGAGAGAGAGAGAGAGAAAATTATCGATTTAAAATTAATTTTCAGCCTTAAGGAGATTAAGGGCTTCTAATCAAGTGGAAGAAGACATTGAAGAAATGAGAGCAGAACAAAGAGCACAACAAGCGGAAGCAACAATTTCAATGACTGAATTAATATGTTCTCCAACGTTGAGGGCTCCTCTCATAATAGGCGTAGTCATGCAGTTATCGCAACAATTATCCGGGATCAATGCCGTAAGTGTAAATTCCATATATATATTACAGAAAAAAAGGGAAAAAAGGGATTCTTTTTTACGAAAAGAATAATTTCATTTTTCAGGTTTTTTATTATTCGACTGGATTATTTATAAGTTCGGGACTCTCGGAAGAAAGCGCGAAATTTGCCACGATCGGGATAGGTGCCATAATGGTAGTCATGACGCTTGTTTCCATACCACTTATGGATAGAGCGGGAAGGAGAACACTTCATCTTTATGGCCTTGGTGGAATGTTTATAGTTTCTATATGCATAACCATTTCCTTTTTAATAAAGGTGAGTGCTTTCCATAATAATCCCCCCTTTTCTCCTTTTTTTTTTTTTTTTTTTTTTTTTTGTTTCAAAACTTTTTATTTCGCGCTTCATTGGTCGCGGGCAAATAATTTTTTTTTAATCCAGGCTTGGGTTCTTTCTATCATACGCGATAACTTGTCTTTTTTTAATTTTGTTTGTCGTCACGTGTTATCCTTTCGATTGTTTTTTAATAATTTTTTTTTAAAAAAAATTTTCAGTGCCCGATCTTGAAAAAAAAAAGAAGAACCAAATAATAATAATAATAATAATAATATTGCCCCCCCCCCCCGGGATTATTTTTCTAGGGTCATTGATCTCAATGCCAAAAAAATCAGATCAAACCCGATTTTCTTTGTATTTCCTCGGTAGAAATTTTTCAAAATTTCATTATCATCATTATTATTTTTCGGGTATTTTTTTTTTTTTTTTGCCGAGGAAATTCAAAGAAACGACGAACTTTTTATTATTATTATTATTATTATTTTAAAAATGATTTTATTTAATTGAAAATTATTTTTTTTCTCCATTGGATTTTTTATTTTTCAGGACTTCTTGCGGAATTTCTACACAGTAGGCATTTTTATAATAATTCACGATATTAATAATATTAATACATATATATATTTATACTAATAATAATAATAATAACAATGCATTTTTAAAAGTTTTTTTTTTTTTCGCTCGTCGAAACTTTTTGACTTTTTAAAACAAATAATAATAATAATTATTATTATTAATTATTTGTTTCGACAAACGAAAAAAAATAAACAAAAAGGATGATTGACACGCTTTCACATTAAAAAAAAAAAAAAAACACGACGGTGTACATACATATACATAAATATGTATGCTAATATACATACGTACATAATTTGATACTCGTGTGTGTGTGTGTGTGTGTACACACACGCACATTCACACACACACACACACGCATTTTGTACATAATTCATAAATTTTTTTCCTTTTTTTTTTTAGGTTAGTTGTAATTAATTTGATATATTTTTTAATTATACACACACACACACATACACGACTCGTCGCCGTGTTTTTTAGATATAATAATAATAATAATAATAATACTGATCAATTAGTTTTACTTTAATTGATCATGCTTTTTGCTTTAATTACTTTAAGGAAGTGATACGGTGTGAAGGAGGTTGATTTTAGTACCTTAATTTGTTGGATTACAATTTTTAGTTTTCGATCGGATTTTTTTTTAATTCTTCTTCGTCGTTTTCTTTCCTCCATTACTTTCTTACGTCTTCTTATTCTTTCTTTTCTTTTGTGACGTCATACGTACGTCATAATCGTGGCAAATTTTATTTTAATCGTTTGTTGATACTATAGACGATGGAATGAACAGATGAAAAATCAATCCGGGAAGCCATTTTTTTTTTTTTTTTATTCTTCCGTTTGTTTGTTGTTTGTTTCTTTAAATGTAAAATAACGTATTTTATGAAAATACCGGAAATAGAAGTGGAAAAGTTACTAAACCGGAAATAGAAGAAGAAAAAACTAAAAGTAATTAATGAAAGTTAATTTTTTAGGTGGAGAAAAGTGAGAGAAGTAAAAAAAAAAAAAAAGAGGGAGGGGAGGGGAGGGGGGAGGGTTTTGAGCACGCCCAAACACATTCACTCGCACACACACACACACGCGAACAAACAAACGAAGAATTTATGGAAGAGTGTACCTGAGTGCGTCATCACCGTGTGTGACACGTGTATCTTCAGTTGACTAACGCTTTTCTTTTTTCTTTTTGCTTTTTTTTTCATGCTGTCTTTATAAATTATTTATTTTAACTTATTCAATCGTCTAGATGAGTAAGAGCATGCACCGCTGTGTGTGTGTAAAATATATAAATACACCGCCATTTTTTTTATTATTATTATTATTATTATTTATTTTTTTAATTTTTTTTTAATTTTGTTTTTTCTTTTGTTTTTAAAATTAAATCCGTTCGGTTGTTGGTTGTTTTTTTTTATTCATATTATACTTATTTATTTAATATTAGCAAAACAATCGACCGGATTTTTAATATGGAAATTTTAAACGGTTGCAACGGAAAAAAAAAAAAAAAAAAAAAAAATTTTTTTTGGGGGGAGGGGGAGATGGCAACTGTTTAAAATTTCGAATTTTTCTTTTTTTTTAATTAGTTTATTTATTTTTTATTGTTTTTATTTATTTATTGATTCCTTCCCGATTGTAAGAAAAAAGCGCCCTGACAACGTTTGGAGGAGATTTTTTATTTTATTTTATTTTTATTTTATTTATTATTTTAAAGTTAAGAATTTTTTTTTTATTTTATTTTTTTGATAAGCGTGATAATTGATAACAGGCCGCGAATTTTTTTTTTTTTTTTTTTTATTTAAAAAATTCGGTTAAGAAAATTTTTTTTTTTTTTCTATTTGTTTTGATTTGTTTTGATTTTCTTTTATTTTGACTTTGAAGTCCTCCTCCATCTTGTTCGGGAACTTTTGAACGGGTACGACGGCCTGATAGGAGTTTTTTGGTTATGTACAGGAAATGACCGATTGGATGTCGTATTTATCGGTCGTCTTCACTCTCAGTTTTGTCGTTTTCTTTGCCGGAGGACCCGGAAGCATACCCTGGATGATCACGGCTGAACTTTTTTCACAAGGTCCGAGACCTGCGGCCATGTCTATCGCCGTCCTCGTCAATTGGATGGCTAATTTTCTCGTCGGAATCGGTTTTCCGACCATGAAGGTAATATTTCCTCCTTTTTTTTTTTTTTTTTTTTTAATTTTCCCCAACCGATGATAAAACAAAACGGAAGTAAACTTTTCTTTTTCTTTTTTTTCTTTTTTATTTTTAGGCCACGTTAGAAAATTACACGTTCCTTCCTTTCAGCGTTTTTCTCGCAATATTTTGGATTTTCACGTACAAAAAAGTTCCGGAAACTAAAAATAAAACTTTCGAAGAAATTCTTTCCCTTTTCCGACACGGCAACGAAAGGTAAGTAATAATTATCGATATACAATTTTATTTTTATCAATCGTTACTCTTTTCCCCCCTTCTCTCTCTCTCTCTCTCTCTCTCCCCTTGTCTCCCGATAGAAAATAATTAAATTAAATTGAAAAAAAAAAAAAAAAGAGAGAGAGAGAAAGCTTCGAATTTAAATCGCGAGTGTAATCGTCAAAGGCTCTGTTGTACGACCCGAATCAAAAAAAAAAAAAAAAAAAAAGAAAAAATGATGATGATAATAATAATTATCATGCGGAAAATTTATCACGTGATTTGTTTTTTTAAAATCTCGGAAACGATTCGATTGTCCCCAGTTCTCTGTGTATATATATATATATATATATATAAAACTACATTTGTTATGTAATTTTTTTCAGGGGTATTGACATTAATAATAAATTTGCCTCCTGAAACTGATAAAGTCCAAAATAAATAAATAAATAAATAATAGAATAGAATAGAATATTATTATTATTAAAATAATAAATATCCGACGATATCAATAAATAATTACAAAAATAATAATAATAAAATAAAATAATAGTCATCACCACCACCACCACCGCCGCCGCGGGGTGTGTGTTTTATATATAATAATAAAAAAAAAGAGGTATGTTAATGGATTGGCATCCGATCGGGGCTTCCATTTCGACCTTTGACATTTGTTGTTTATTATTTTTTTTTACATTTATTTATATATATATATATATATTTTGAAAAACGAAATGTTATTTCCTATTTTTCATTTATTATTATTATTATTATTATTATTAATTTTTTTTTTTTTTTTGTTATTGTTTATTAATTATTGAATATTTTGATATATATATATATATTTATTGTTGTTTGGCCTTTTTCTTTTTTTTTGTTTTTGTTTTTGTTTTGTTTTGTTTTGAAACAACGTAAACAAACAAACAAACAAACAAACATAGATACACGCAAGAAATATATAAGAAAATTTTTTGAATGAGAAAACAAAGAAAAAAAGGAAAATTAAAGAACGAAAAAAAATTGCATTCGATTATGCATGCGGAAATGATTTTACTGAACATACATATATATATATATATATATACAAGAAAATTAAAAAGGGGGGGCGGGGTTGTTTGGGCGCCCCACAGGACACGGCTGCCTTTTGCTTATAACGATTCGCCATCCATCCTTTTTTTTTTTTAATATCGTTTTACGTAAAAAAAAAATTACACGTTGACGATAACACGTCGTTTTGCACGTGTGTGACGTGTTTTAAATTTCGTAAGGACGGAACGATCGACCAATCAGATGAAAGGATTTGACGTCATCGTTCCGTTTTGATTTTCGTTTAAAAAGTTTTGTTTTTTTGTATTGTTTTTTTCTCTCTATGGATTTTCTTTTTTTTTTTTTTTTTTTTGTTTACAAAAGATGGCGGCGAATCGTAGATTGTACCTCGTAGTAAATTCAAATGTTCTGAACAAATGTCTTATTATTATTATTATTATTGTTTTTAAAAAAAGAATTGAACACCCGAGAATAGGGATTTTAGAAATTTTTTTTTTTTTTTTCATATAATAAAAATAATAATGAAATTTTTGTTCGGTCATTAGTTATATTACCTGTTTATTATTATTATTATTTAAAGAGTTTTTGAAAGAAAAAAAAAAATTCCAAAAAAAATTCTCTTTTTATCCTTTACTAATAATATATATATTGTAGTAGTTGTTTTCTCTCTCTGTTTTTTTTTTTTTTTTTTTTTTTTGTTTTTTGTTTTGTGACACGTAACAATGTGTCTGTTGTGTTGTTCTTAGGGGTAGCCTGCAAGACAGCAGGTTGTACGGGTGAGTAAAAAAATTTTTTTTCTTTTTTTTCCTTTTGTATTTTAAATTTTTTTTTTGTCTCTCTCTCTCTCTCTCTCTCTTATTCAGCCTGTTTTAGAAAAATTAATTGTTTGGAATTAGTTTTGCCTTTTCTGGTAGTTTTTGTTTTTTTTGTATTGTTTTCACCGTTCGAAGGTTTTCCATTCACTACCGAGAGAGAATTTTTATTTTTTTTTTTCAAAATATTTCGTAAACGTTTTGCAGTGATATCGTGAGGGTTGCACCGTTACTAAAACAAGTACCAAAACGTTCGTGACATTTGACGAAACGATTTCTATTAATTTTTTTCCGGAGGTCAATGGGAGGAGGGGGGAAAAAAAGAAAAAGGAAATAATCATTCGCGGAAAATTGCAATTGAATTTCCGTTCGTTTCCGTTTTACGAAAATTTTCACAGCAACGGAAAAGAAAAGAAAAGAAAAAAAGACAAATTTCGAACGGTTAGAACTCGGAAAAAGTGATCAAAGTGAATTATTTACTCGTATTCGACAAACGAACGTATTCTCAAACAAACAAACAAACAAACAGACACAAACACAAACTTTTAATAACTTAGCATTTGGTATGTATGCTCGCTCGTTTTTTTTTTTTTTCATTTAGTCGCATATAAAATGGTTAATGTTGAGTAGAATTTTAGTCAAATCAAAATTAGTTTATCAAAAATTTTTATTTTCTTTCTGTTTTAGTTTTTTTGTTTTGTTTTGTTTTCCGGTTTTTTTTTTTTTTTTTGATTTTTACGCGCCAAATTCAAAATGTAAAGTAGAATAATATAATCGTTCACGTCGGTATTTCGGTATTTAAAAAAAAAAAATTGAATTTTATTATTTTTTTTCTTTTTTTTTTTTTTCAATCAAAAATTTCGCGATGTGTAATAGATGAGTCGAGATTTTTAATTTTTGTTATTATTATTATTATTATTATTATTATTATTATTATTATTATTATTATTATTATCACGACGTAATTTGTTTAACTCTCAAGCTTCGCTCTGCACTAAAAAAAAAAAAAAAAAAAAAAAAAAAAACATGATTATTTATTTTATTTTATTTTTATTTTAAAATTATTTAAATGTGATTATTATTATTATTATTACTACTATTATTATTAATATTAATATTAATAAGTATATCGAAATGTACGCTGTAGAATAAATTTATTAATTTATTATAAGGCACTTTTATTTGTTCTCATAAATAAATAGTAAATTTGAAAAAAAAAAGTTTTTTTCTTGTTCACTTTTATGTAACCAAATGATTAATGATAAGAGAAAAAAAATTAATAATAAATAAATAAATTTCGTTTGTTGGTATCTTATTATTATTATTATTGTTTTACAAAATGTCACGTGGGAAGGGAGACTAAAGAAAATTTTTGGGAACTTTAAATTTAATTTTTTAAATTTTTATTTTATTTTTTAAAATTTCTTTTAAGTTTTCTCATTTTTTTTATTATTATTATTTAATTTTGTTTTATTTTATTATTATTATTATTTAATTTTGTTTTATTTTATTATTATTTGATTTTGTTTTTTTTTTATTTTTGTTTTCTTTTTACAAAAGTGTGCGTCAATTTTTTTTGTTTTCACAGGGAAATGGTATCGACTCGTAGCTCGGAAACGGTTTTGACTAAATACGCCGAAGAAAATTATTAAAAAAAAAAAATGAAATAATGATAATGTTTTAAAAATTTTTTATTTTAGTTTTTTTTTTTTTTTTTTTTAATTTAGTAGTATTAGTTTTTATATTTTTTAAACGATTAAATATCGGCGAAAGTAAATTTGTAGTTGTAAGAAAAGAAAAAGAAAAAGAAAAGAAAAACGCTTTTCATGTGTTTTTTTTTTTTTTTTTAATAATAATAATTTAAGCGCACAAAACCTCTGAAACCTTTTTTTGTTTTTTTGATGACAAAATATCCCCTCATTCGGACACATAATTAGTGTTATTCAATGCTTACCCAAACCAGGTATGCCAACTCTTTTCCAGGACCATGTCAAACTACGTGAACTATTTGGAACCTCGTCCAACTGAACGTGCTGCCCTCGTTCTTACGGAGGAGAAATGTCATCATTCCCGTAGGTGTTTTCTTTTTTTTTTTCTTTTTTTTTTCCAATCATTATCATTATTACTATTTTGTTCCCCTCCCCCCTCTCGTATCCTTCAATTCCTTCCTTCGGGATTATTTTTGTGTGTCGTTCGATTCGATTTGATTTTTTATTCGATAGTTAGTTCGGGTTTTTTTTTTAATTTAAAAATGGCGGTCGATATCGTTTAGTTTTTTATTTTTTTTTTTTTATTTTTCATTTGCTCAATTTTTCGATTAATCGAAATTCGAGTTTTTAAATAATTTTTTCGATTTCGAATCGAAGTAACCCAAAAAAAATTGTATAACGGTTTAGATTAGATAAATGATTATTTTTTATATTTTATTTTTATTTTTTATTTTTTTTGTTTAAATATATTTATTTTATTTTATTTCGAACCTTTTTTTACCTTACACGAACCTGTATTCCCTTTAATATTATCATTATTATTTTATTTCCAAATATATAAATAAAAACGAAATGAGAAAAATTTATATATTTTAAATGTGTGTGTGTATATGTAAAACAGTGCCGCGGATGAGGACAGATCGAAGAATACCCATATACAGCCGCTACGAACCTAGAAGACATTCAGCTTTTTCTACGCTTCCAGGTACATAAAAACAAACAAACAAACAAAAAAGAGCAAAAAAAAAAAAATCGAATGAATTATATCAATTCATTCAATTTTAAGCAACACACACAGCAATATCACTCTTGTATTTGAATTTAATATTTTTTTTATTGTTGTTATTGCCAATCAATCAATCAATCAATCAATCAAACAAACGCTGCTTAAAGGATTTTAAATTAATTTTTTTTCACACACACACACACACACACTTCGCCATTTTTTTTTAAATAAAGAGAATAACACTAAAGCTGTAAATACAACAAACAAACAAACAAACAAACAAAAAAATTTTTTTATGTGTATATATTGTAACCGGATATCACATTAGACGCATGCACTATTTATGTAGCACATACGTACATAAATAAATAAATAAATCGTGATTGTTACGATGAGACATTAACAAAAAAATAAACAAATACACGTGTGC